GCTCGTGAGAAGCCTGAGTCACGCTGCTAGCAAGCCGATTTCTCCCCCCCGCGAGCCTCTTCCTCCTGGTCCTCTTGAGCCTCTCTCGGCGTCGACCTCGCTCCCACCTAACACTCGAGTGCTAACGCACGCGTCTGGTTTCAAGGGCCAGGTGGTAGGTGGAGTGCCCAGCGTCCGCCGCCCCTCGAGCGCTGATCTGGGGCGCGGTAAACGCGCGACGATTTCTGTTGCTTCGGCGGGCCTGGCTAAAAATCCTGGTCCCGAGGAGCCCACTACGCCAGTAATGCTCAGGCGTGGCAGACCTGCCGCGCAGGGATTTTCTGTGCAGTGGAGCAGCCACGATATGTCTGCTGCCCTGCGCTTGCTCCAGGGGGCACCGCGGCAACAGCAGGGCTCTTCCTTGTTGTGAGCCGCGAGGTGCACGGTCGCGCATCGCAAACTGACGCTCGGGTGTAGCCCGATCCTAGGGGCAGCAGCTGGACGGGATATCTTGCTCGCCCCCCATGGGTTCTGATCTGATCTGATCAGCATCATCATCATCATCCTCTGTGTTTTGCTACTCGTTCTCCTCGTCCCCCCTCCCTCGGTCCCTGCTGCTGTTCCTCTTCGTCTGTCGGCCAGGCTTAACTGTCCAACGCACCTTGCCGAAGCAGGTCCGACCCCGACCCCCCCCAAAAGAATTCGCAACGAAGCGCCCGCTCCCGAACATATTGGATTCCTGCTGCCCGGGAGGGGGAGGAGGTGGTGGAGGCTAAGAGGTGCTGAACATAGAAATATGGCAGCGACAAGTTGGATCTGAATCAGGATTGTCATGGAAGAGGGAGAGGATGAGAAGACGGAGGAAGAGGACATGGCGGAGGACTGGAAAAGGCGAAGTTGAGGAGGACTGGGGAGGAGGACGAATCACAACGAGGGAGAAGGAAGAGGAATACAATGAGGAGACCAATGGTGATGTGGACGAGGTGGAGGAGGATGACGGTACAGAGGAGGAGGAGGATATGTTGGAACATTGCTTTGCGATTGGGTGACGAGCAACGCCACACGCTCGCAGTCATGTGTTAGCGTTACCGCAGGCATGTGGCTCAAATATTTAACAGTGGACGGTGTTTTGCGCCCCGCCGTTAAAACGTATCACTACCCATCGTTCCCGTGCAAATCCTCTTCAGGAAGTTGCAGAATAGGAAAACAGCGTGGGACAGGGCGAGGGCGATGAAACCAAGGATGACGGAAGGGGATGGGGGCGGGTACATCGAGGAGGAACAGGAAGAGGCGGAGGAGAATGAGGAGGACGTGGTGATGAGGTGGAACAGGAAGAGGCACAGGCAGGCCACGACGACGACGACGACGACGACGACGAGGCGGAGGAGAACGAGATGAGAAGGGTGATGGTGACACTGTTAATTTTGCTGCTGATGGTTACGGTCATGACAGTGGTGGATGTGTTGGTGGCTTGGATGCTGTTCATGATGATGGAGATTATGGTGGTGCTGAGTTTGGTAATGGTCATCACGAGTGTGGACGAGGAGGGCGTGGATAAAAAGGGCGTGGAGGAGGACCGTGTAGAGAGTGGTGATGATGGGGCACCGTCGGGGCTTGAGGAGCATGGGGGGTATCGGGACGAGGAAGGGCAAGGAATGGAACGAGGTGGACAGGCGGAGATTAAGGAGGAGGAGGCGGAGGTGGAGGGCAATGAAGAGTGGGGCGGATGATGATGAAGCGGATGTGGCAGAGGTACAGGAGTTCGAGGTGATGCTCAGGCGGCCGTTGGATGTTCTAAGTCTAGGGGGCGGTGGGAGGAGGAAGAGGAGGAGGAGGAGGAGGAGGAGGAGGAGGAGGAGGAGGAGGAGGAGGATGTCGACGAGGATGACGATGAGGATGAGGAGGTGACTGAGTGCATGGGGGGAGGTCCTGCACAGAGCCCTCTCTCTTGCATCAGGGCCTGAACTCCAAGATGCAGCTGGTGAGGCGCTTCCTGCAGCAGAGCAAGGCGTTGTGCTCCTGCTGCTGCTGCTCTTCCGCGTCTCATCCATCTTCCCATCGCCCCCCACATTGATCCCCAGAGGCCCTTGGAGGAACCGTCTAGAACCGGTGGAGCCCTTCTGGAACGCGTCACGCTCCCAGCAACTGTTTCTCGCCTTCTCCGCCTCCCTCCGTCCGTCCTCGTCGTTGTCGTCTTTGTCCCCCCCCCCCCCCCCATAATGCTCATTCCCCCTCGATCCCCTCCTCCCTAGACCCCCCCCCTGGCCCCCCCCCCCGCACGTGTTCGACCCCATCCCATCTAGAATGTTTTAGAGTGTTTAGGAATCACAGTCAGACTGCCTCTCTCCTCCCTCCCCCCTCCTCCCCCACCTCCCCTTCCACCGACACCCCTGGAAACCTCACAGATCTTCCCAGAGCCGCTTAGAACACATTTGAGACATCTATTTCCCCGTTCCTCCTCCTGCTCCCGTTCCTCGTCCATCACCACTCCTTCTCCTCCTCCTCCTCCTCCTCCTCCTCTCGCTCCGGTTGCCCTTGTTCGCCCCTCGAACAAAACGAGGTGTCCAGCGGGTTGGGGATCCAGATCCAGAAGCAGCTCCGTGAGCGGCTGGAAGACAAGCGGCAGCTGACCATGCAGGACGATCCGTCCTTGCCCTCCCCTCCGAGGAAGGAAGGTGAGCAGCAGGAGGGATGAGGATGATGCTCTCGACAGCTTTCGGGGGGATGTGACGGTGGTGGTGCAGTTGCAGTGCTGTCGAAGGGTTCAGCTGTATGCTGGAGGTTGTCCGTATCCGTGTCCGTGGCAATATGTTTGCCATACTGGATTCCAATCAGTCAGTCATTGCACCCTGGGTGTGCAACACATGTGATGGTATGTTCGTGGTGCAACCTATGTGGTGCAGCCTCTGCGGTGCACAGTCAGTTTCACACACTTGCAGCCGTGAGCTTAAATGCTGGAGCCACCATCCCCCTCTTGAGCCGCAACTTGTTTGCACAAGCCAACTGGCGACATGACGCGAGGATCCTTCCCATGCAGATCTATGACTCGGGCGGGCGGGTGATGATGATGGTGTTGAAGAAGATGATGATGATGATGATGATGATGATGATGATGATGATGATGATGATGATGATGATGATGATGGTGTTGAAGATGATGATGATGAGGATGATGATGATGATGCTGATGCTGATGATGATGCTGATGCTGATGCTGCTGATGATGATGCTGGTGACGATGATGATGATGATGAGGAGGAGGATGATGATGATGATGCTGATGATGGCGCTGGCGACGAAGGCGTCAACAAGGACGATGACAATGACCTTGATGATGTTGACGACGACGGTGGGAGCGATACCGACGACGATGGTGATGGTGATGGAGAGGATGTGGATGACGGTCGCAACAACAGCGTTGGCGATGCTGACGGTGTTGGTGAGGATGATGGGGAAGTGCACGCGCGCAGGCACTCCGACATCCAGACCTAGCAGCCGTCGCTGATTAACCAGTTATTGCTTGTGTAGTCAAACGCTTGCGTGGCTATGCTAAGAGAACCCACGGTTGGGGAGGGGGTTCGACGGGTGGAGATGCGCGCGTGTGGCCCATGGTCGATTGGTTGGAAGAGTTGGCGGGCGCGCCATGGTTGTTGAGCGGTTTGGTCATGCGCGCGCGTGTGACGCGCACGCTGTCAGTTGACGGGGTGGCGGTGGTTCTCTGATGGCTCCAGGCAGTGCGCGCTCAGAATGCTTGCAGGCCTTTACTGAACAAAACTGTGCATCCTGACAGCTGTCGAACGACGATGGGTGGAACCCCCACGTTCGAGCAAGCATCCCACGCGTCCCCCCCCCCCCCCCCGCACCCGGAACTTTGCAAAACTCGCGCATGCAGCGGGTGCGGCTGCCCATCGGAACCTGTTCGCGAATCTGAGGTGGCACACTGACGCGCGGACCCAGCGCGTGCATGTCCACGACTCCGACGGGCGAGTGATGATGGTGACGAGGGTATCGGCGACGACGACGATGATGGAGATGGTGGCGTCGATAATGGCGAAGGCGATGACAACGACGATGACGACTATGGATGCGACGGTGATTAGGACGAGGGCGGCGATAGTGAGTCTGGTGATAATGATGATGCTGCTGCTGCTGATGATGATGATGATGATGATGGTGATGATGATGATGATGATGATGATGATGATGATGATGATGATGATGATGATGATGATGATGATGATGATGATGCCGACGACGACGATGATAATGATGATGAGGATGAATGACGACGACGGCGACGATGTCGATGATGACGCTGGCGATGATGGTAATGGTGGTGTTGGTAAGGGTGGTAAGGAAGTGCGCGCGCAGCAATTGTGACATCCAGGCTTGCACTCCCATGAACCAAAACCCATGAGGTGCCGCTGATGTTCGGGCACCCCCGTGTTGAAGTGCTTAGGAACTGCTGGATGTGGGCGTGCGCTCGCGGAGACCCGCGCGCGTGTCCCCACATGAAACTGGTTGGCAGAGTGTGCGGGTGCGTGCTCGTTGTTGGGGGCGTTTGATATGTGTTGAACAGCTATGTCTTGTAACTTGGCATCGCTCGGACGTGTGCATTTTTTCCTTCGGCGAGGACCATCGAGGAGCATCCTTGATCATTTTGCGAAAAACACGCACGAAACCGAAACAAAAACTCAGGAAACGGACGTCCGAGCGATGGCCAGTGTAATGGCCAGGGAGCGCATCGATTTCGATGGGTTCTGACATGCGCGCATGGCGGCGCGCGCATGCGGCCTGCATGGTACTCTTTGAGTTGGCTTGATTGGGACTGGTGCACGCTGCTCCTCGTAGACCAGTGCCTGTACACTGCAGTCTACTCTGGAAGGACATGACGGCGTGCGGGCGGGTGTGGTATTGGTTGGTCGGGGGGGG